AATTCTACTTCCGTCAAAGCATCATATTGTGCAAAGTCTAGTGCTCGAATACCATAAAAAGAATTCTCATGCCGGTGTTCAAATGCTCATGTCAATGATTAGAGAAGAATATTGGATTATTTCAGCTAGACAAACAATTAGATCAATAATCAAGAAATGCATTACCTGCAAGAGATTCACAACAAAGTCACCTTCAACCATACCTATTCATTTACCTTTAGACAGAGTACGGGACGCTCGAACTTTCGAAGTCACCGGAATTGACTTGTGTGGTCCCCTTATTCTTAGGAAAAGGACTAAAGCCTGGGTGGTGCTGTTTACATGCGCAGTCTACAGAGCAATACATTTGGAGATCGTGACATCCTTAAGTGCAGATTGCTGTGCACTCGCGTTGAGAAGATTCATCGCTCGACGAGGCCGTCCGACAGTTATCTATAGTGACAACGGCACGAACTTTATCGGTGTCTCTGGTGCATTGAACCAAATTGAGTGGCAAAAGATAGCTGCTCTTGAAACTCTAAATCCAATTAACTGGAAATTCATTCCCCCAACCGCAGCATGGTGGGGCGGTTGGTGGGAGAGACTAATTCGCATAGTGAAAAATCTACTTGTTCGAGTTCTTGGTAAGTCGTCTGTTACGTATGAGGAACTCCTCACAGTTCTTTGCGACGCAGAAGCCACCGTTAACAACCGCCCGTTAACATACATCTCCAACAATGCAGATGAGTTGAGGCCTCTAACACCATCCAACTTTTCTCCAAGATGTAAAAGAGATTGAAACAGCTGATCTTGATCATTTGGATAGGAACAAACTGGTAAAGAGAACGTTATTGCCAAGAACTGCTTGAACAATTGCCAAGAACTGCGTGAACAATTCAGGCGACGATTCCGGAAAGAATACTTAGGTCAGTTGGTGCAAAAAGCTGGCACATCTGACAAAATTTTCAAAGTTGGAGAAGTGGTCCTTGTTGGTTCTGAAAACCAAAGAGACTTAATTGGCCACTTGCAGTGATTGAAGAACTGTATCCAGGGAGAGACGGCCATGTGAGAGTCGTCAAAGTCAAAACTCCACTTGGTCATCTCGTTCGTCCAGTCCAAAAAATTTACCCTCTAGAAGTTAATTCTTCTGGGGATCCCATTATACCAGATCAACATACTACTAATGACCCACCAGCAACATCACAGAATGACATTCCAATTCAGAAGGATGTTTCAGCAGCTCCTCGGACGTCAAGAAGCGGCAGAGTTATCAAGATACCTAAGAGACTGGGCTTCGAACTTTGTTGATTTACCTCGAAGATGGCAAATCAAGGTGGGAGGATGTTACGTAATGCCGTCAATAAACTTCGGAAGATATTCACGAGACAGTTTTATGAATAACTTTATTGAATGAACACGAGACTTTTTATTAATGTTTTTAATGACGCGAGTTTTTATGTATCCTTTTTTTTGTGGATGGCATCAGTTTTCGGCGTTGCCATGCACGTTCTAATCCGTGTTTGCTTAGTGATAGAAGTGTTCTATGAATTTAATGTTGATATGAATTGAATTGATTATATATTGTTTTTTGTGTTCTGTTTATTGAATAATATCCTAGTTCCTGAAACTTACTGATGTCAAGTGTTAACAACATGTGTCAGAATTCAAGTAGATAAGATTTATTTCTTTTTCTAGAAATATTGAAATTGTAAACAGATATTCTAATAGTAGACTCACTGTGTCTAATTATTATTAAGGTTTATATACGTATATTAAGAACCTGTGCAGAACAACTGTTGACGGGTAGTCTCGGCGTAGTTCTGATATTTTTAGGCATTTTCGTTACAATTTGGGAGTATGAACATTTTTAACTCGTAAACGCTGCAAATTATGTTATAGAATGAATTTGTGTAACTTAGTAGTTCATCTGCCTAGGGAAGAATCCCTTTGATTTTAAAAGAAAACTGATTTGCATTCTTTTTAAAATGAAAATTTTTCTATTATACCCCCCGAAAAAAAAGCATCCTTACTCCGTATATGTTTGGTAGACAAAAACACCACATTGCTGTAGTCCTAGAGACGCGATGAGCATTACATTTTTTTTGCGATTATCATGATTAAAATATCACGTTTAATCTTCTGACAAAAAATAGTGATTGAGTGATAAATATTTACTTTTAGTTATTTAATTGAAGAGAAAATGTTATTGAAATTAGACAGAATTAAATGTCTAATGAAATCAAATACGAAACATATTACATGGAGGAAAAAAACTCATAGCAGTTTATCTTTCAGTACCTGTAAAAGTCTTTTACTGCAATTGTTAAATGTACGACGAGTCATGTTAATCTAGGTCATGACATCAGAGAGGACATCCTCACTTCAGTCTGTTAAGTAGACATGTAGTAGATGGCTGAATGATCAGTTACGATTTGAAGATGATTAAAATTTTAGATCCCAATCTCTTAGATGATATGAAATGTGCTGTTTATTCATGCGTGTAAGAGGTGAGTAGTTTCAGTGTTTATCTATAATCTATTTATTTCAAAATTAATTTTCTTAATATTATAAAATGAAAATACTTTTGTTCGTTTCGTTAATAGCTACGTGTTAAAAATTTAAGTAATGTCAGAAAAGAAACAATATGCGTATTCTTCGTAACGGTGAAGGATATTTAATTTCATTGCTGAGATTAAAATTACAGCTAGCACTAAGAACTGAAAATGAAATGAGTCGATTGCAATAGTTGAAAATAAAAAATGCTTTATATGAAATATGAGTTAACGCACATAATACTTTAATATATTAATACATTCTAGATCTTTTTTTTTTTCATTTTTAACTGCTGTGGTTTACTCAAATTTCATTTCTTATTGCTAACCGTAAGTAAAATTCAAAGTTTTTCTGATCCTTGAAATGGTTTTCAGTTTTACTTTATGTCACTATGAGTTACAAGAATTAACCACAAGGATTATACTCACTCGTTCATGTAATATATATTCGAATGAAAATGAAACAAAATAACTATTGAAATAAAATTATTCAATAATTTTCATTACCTATATTAGACCATTTATTATGCTGATACCAATTATAGAGAAATCGTATAAGTAAAATGCTTGATTTTTTGGTCGTTATGTTTCTTGTATGACTAAATTTTGTGTCCACAAATATATAATATTTTTATATACATTAAATTCTAACTTTTAGACTTTATATTGCACCGTGGTAAAATAAAAATAAAATATAGATTTCCAAATAGATGCCATCTATATTCTGCTTAGAGTTTATTTAGCTAATGGCTTTACTCTCTCCGTAGAACTCGTGGCTGAATGTTCTTTTTAAAACTGTCTCCCACTGAAAAGAATAATACAAATTGAACAAAGCTCCAAAATAATTTTTATATTGTAACCTATCCTGAGACAGGTTTATTTTAATATTTAATATGCCAGGAGATGTATAATTATTGCATAATGTAGTATTGGTAATTACAAAAATTGAGTGATATTTAAAAGAAAGAACATTCCTAAGAAAGAGATGTTTATAAATTTACAAAATAATTTTAATATTACACTAACTGCATTGTTGTCACGTTATTAAAACAATTTTTTTACGAACTGACTTAATAAATGTAAAAAATGATTTTATTAAAAAATAATTTTACATAAAAATAATTAAATGTCATGAAATAATGTTTAATTTTTAATGTAAAACAATGTGTTTAATGATTAATTGAGTGAAATTGATTAGGCTCATACACAGTGTGATTTTAAATAATATAAAATATTATTAAATTTTGCTGCATCTATAAAGCAGGATTTTCTTATTGTGGTGGAGAAAGAGGTTGTTATGTTGCATGGCATCTGTTTAGCTAATCACTGAAACTTTAAATCTAGTCTCACTTCACACCAGTTTACTAACGCTTAATAACTCGACATTACTCACATTACGTAAATACAGATAAGAAAATAAAGCCTGTATTTTAAATAAAAAGTTCTTTTCAAGCATGATTAAATATTAAACAAGTTCTCATCATAATCCTCATTTTGCGTGTTTACGCAAAGCTCAAATTAAGAGGATTTTTTCAAAACTTCAAGGCGTTAAAACCTTATTGAAGGAAAGCAGCTCTTGTTTTAACAATAAGGTCTATTGATACTTTACTTGTATATCATATCAAGGGTGATGGAAAAATAATATCACTTGCTTTGTCCAATATTTCCTTTCAAGAGACATTCCGAATCTCGCTTGAATCACTTAATAAGTTATATCGTTCAGGCATCAAATCAGTAAAATTATTTAGGCATTTCCTTTTTCTTTCAAAGCATTCTTATCTGTTTAGTTGGAATATAAGTTACTTTCCGTTATCTCAGCTGATAAAAACACGCAAAACTGCTAGTTTTGTCTAGGGTTGGATCTTGTACTGAATTCATACGAAATTTTGTGCACCTCCCCCCCTCGACGATTAGAGTTAATGCAAATCAGGTTTCTTTACAAAATCTTGTTGGAAAGCAAGCTCTAAAGACACATAAATCGCATGAACTTTAACGTCTATTAATTTGGCTTTTCTTTGAATCTTACATTACAAAAATGCTCATATTACTTGGAGGATGAGTGGAAGATGAATTTTGAAAATAAAATATTTTCAGGAGTTCAAGTTGATTTAGTAGTTAGAACTTGAATTTATTAACGACTTTTATAACCCTTTTTTGTATTTGTTGTCGTCGTAAACTAAAGAGATTTTCCAAGTTTTAAAGTATGCTGTTTTAAATTATGCCACAGTTTTTGGTTCGAATAAATTATCAGCTATTATTATTTATTTACTTGTAAGTGTTTTATTTTTGTGACGGTAATAACTCACCTTGATACTTAAATAACTTAAGCTAAGCCATTAAATTAAAATCATACGGACAATTAACGGAATTAATTTAGAGCTGTTACATACTAACATCCGAAGTTTGTCTCTCTCTCTCTCTCTTTTTTTTTTTTTTTTTTTACTAAGCAAGAAACCATTTCTTACTTACCGCTCTGCCAAGTGCCATAATGCACTGCGTGACTTGGGGAATGTTTCGACGCTCCCAAAGATCAACCGTTTGAAACACATCAATCTCTGCAACGCCGTATTTTTTCGCAGCCTCTTGAAATTTATTTATATTTTCCATCATCTTGAATTGGCCGCCTGATGTGTTAATTTTTTTAATAATACCTGGTGAAAGTTGATTCATCAACCTGAAAGTATAAAAGTTTTCTAATGAAACTTTGCATAGCCCAAAGACGACAGTAGTTACAATAACAGTACTGGTACTTAACATGGAATTTTATATTAATCGAGATACTTCAGAATGAAGCAATTTATTCAAGGTTATTGTTAACTGAAACTTTAAAAATCATACTGCATGAAGGAAGTGTAAAGTTTTTATTGTATGATACAGATATATATGATAGCATACATAAGTATACATATAAGTATGATAGCTCTTTCTACTTGTTTTTGGTTTCACCTTACGTAGCAAAGGGATGAACATAAACTTTGGTCTTCAATAAATGCAGTGTTTTCATAACACCTTCAGTTTAGCATATGTTATCACATGCAGCGCTATGTTTTCTTCAAACTATTCTTCCCTCACTCGTAAATAAAACGTATGTCAGCATATTTCATAAATGAACAGTAATGCATTAGACAGCATAATCTATCATTTCGTCTACGGCCTCTAATATTAATTTGTTCCTTACCACAAGTCTCTTAAGATGCACTCCCTACAACACGCTTTTATACCGGTCACTCTAATATAGCCAGTATCTTTCCTATTGCATCTTGCACTAGCGTGCGAACGCCTTACCTTTCATGTTCTTGGGAACTCATGGCTTCATGGATGATGGTAAACATATAATGACAATTTAGTTAATAAAATGTATGGTTCAAAAATTGTCTTTGACTACACAGCGTTATTTTTTATGCAAAACAATTGCATTGCGCTATGCACATTTTATGTAAGTTGACGCATATGATGGTTCTTTTGCATAAAGAGTGAATCTGATAAAATCAAAAACCTTTTTTTACATCGGATAAAATATTAATTTTATCCAGTGGATTTATCAGCAGGTATCATATTCTGGATCAATATAAGACATTTCGAAGGTTAAAGAAAATGCCGAATGAGCATATTTTAGTTACAGCTTATGATTTTATATCAGGCTGATAAAAAGAAATCGAACAACATTTCGAAAAACTTTTCTAAATTAAATCTAGTGTCATCTCACTTTATGGGAAGCCCCTTCTTGATATTACATTTCTGCACTAATACCAGCGCTTATACTGTGAATGGGAAGTCTTTTAATTAATGTGTGTCTTGCAATACTTAATAATTCGGTTTGGATGAACGGGAGACGCTTCACATTGGTTTTTGATCTCAGAAATTAAAAAAAAAAAAAAAAAAAAAAAAATGAGGATGCCAATAGTGGCAGAATGGATGAAATCCCTGGGTACTAGTAGTTCAATCAGTGCTCGAATCCTGGCGAACGTGCGGGCTGCTTGGACATTTTCATAGTTTGGGTTCCGCGTAAAGGCCCATCCACACGAGTACGCTCGAAACGTAGCTGACGAACGCGCTTTTACGTTACCAGCGTTCAAGTAGAAAGTCCTGCACGAAGGCAACCATTTTTAAGTAAATAATCTTGTGTACTTAGCCGTAATGAAAGATTTCAATCTAATCCATCCCTGCAGGAGCGAAAGCATGATTTTCTAGGGTTCCGGTTTCCAGGGATTTTCCGGTGAAGATGCTACATACTATTTAGAAATTTTAATCGGGTTCACCGCGTCCCAATTCATTTCGCCGAGTTACCGTTACACGATATTTTTTTAATAATATTTGCATATAATAAAAATACCAGTTTAATACTATTTAGTTATTTTTAACAGATGTTAAATAATACTAAAATATTAATTTAAATAAATATCGGCAGCATGTAGGAGTATACAAAACTTAATATTGTGTAGTATACTGCTGCAATTTCGAGTATGATCGCAACAGTTGCGGTTACAATTACATACTAACCTACATAAATTATATAAATTGATTGCATTAACATAAATTGATATTACATATACGGTTTCAATTATAATATTTTATATAATTATAAATGCATATATGATTACAAATACAATAGCCTATATTTAGATTATACATATGCAGTTACAATAACACATTTTAAATTTATTGGCTGTATTAGATAAGAGCGTCTAACAGTTTTAATGACACTATAGAACTATGAACTCCTTTTCATAGTAAAAACAGTTTTGACGAAAAGTTTTGCCATATTTTTTTTAAACAATTCTCAAATTTTCAGCGAAACATTTTAATGAGAATAAAGAAAATGCATCTTGAATGGGATACGTAATCCTAAAACTTATTTAATGAGATGATTTCCCACAACAGGCCTCACTATTTTCAGATTCCATGTTTCCACGTAGGTTCTGAAAACGTTCTGAAATGCTGTCAAGGTCTCTTACGCATGCAGTGAAATTATACCTGAAATTTCAGAATCTGTTGTCCGATAAAAAATTCTTTTATATCTTAAAATCATTTGTGTCAAGTTATTTTACTTTTAAATAATGCAATCAATCTATCGTTCTCTTTATTCATAGTTTTATCAGTTTAATGAGACCTAGTTTTTCATGAAGTTAAGGTTAACAAATATTAAACTCACATGCACCATTTTTAAATCACAGACATTAGTTTAATATAGAGGCTGTAATTATATAAAGCACTGGTTATCACTTGCTCGACGTTTTCATTCGCATAAAAAACAGTAATTACTTGACAGCTGACTTGCAATCCTAACTTTAATGCTTTAGATAATAAAAAATCGCAGAGACCCAACCATTGTCTTCGTAGAGTATATTCTGAAGTATTACTAGAATATTGTCACAAGTTTCTAACACCATAAGCTAGAAAGATAGAAGGCAGTTCATGCACATTAAAAATAAAAATGCTTAATTTGGGTAAGGGAATGAAAATCGTTTAGTTTACTTGTTGCAACTGATCATGACGTTCCTCACTGCTAAACCTTCTTTGATTTTTCCTTTACATGGATTCTGTATTTTATGCTCCTTCCGTAACTAATTACAATAATAAATTTTTATAATAGTATGTGATAAAGATTTTACTTCTAGCTAATTTACGTGTCCTTGGTTACCAGAACATTAGTAGTACGTTAGTAGTCCTTGGCTACTAGAACTACTAGAACAAGACTAGCGACTATTCGCTGGTCTTCTCACAACAATAAAGATAAGTCCAAAGAAGGGTTAAAATACCCTTTTATTCACTCACAGAAGTAATATATTCGGCCTCTTTCGGGCTTACAAGAAAGCCTCCATTTGAGTTTTAACTTAAAATAGAAATTAAGAAACTAAACTAATTCTAACTAACTCAAACTTAGCCGAAGCTGTGCAGAAATAACTAACTGAGTTGGCCCGTAATTAAACCTCAGCGAATACTCACAGGCACATAATACTACTGCCGAACGTAAGATAAGCTTGAAGTAACGACGTGTCCGAAAGGCAGAACATGCTTTACTTAGAACTTCTGAACTCTTCTACGGAAGTGACTGAACTTCCCATCAAACACAGGTTCTACTTCATTTACATAAAACGTGATATTAAAAAATCATTCAGCTAGGGAGTTGTGGATGGAAAACAAGAATTTAAAGGAAAGGGTTTCAAAATTAAAAATAATTATTAGAAAATTAAATATTCCCCACAACTTCAGTAATAGTGTCTTTCTATATTTAAATGCCAATTTTATCACGAAAAATGCTTGTTTTTCAAAAATGCAAAAGTTTAAAGCATATTTAAGTGCAGTTTCTGAACATACGAGATCCAAATTGTATAGAATCCCTGTCAGTTTGTTTCATAGGGAGAATTTTGCTGCAGAAAAGTATAATAAGTCAGTAATATTGCATGTTAAGGTAAATTACTTAAGGCGTCATGTAAAGATTTATGTATGTTTTCATTATGAAGTGGACATTGGTATGCTTTGCAGTTTTATTGCTATTAAAGTTTAATTAGGATAATTTGAACTTCCTTTCCAGATTAAATTAGGTTAATTAAATATGGTAAATCACTCGATTTGTCTATTAGGGAAGGATGTTTTCACGATGGGAGGGAAGTTGGTCTTTATTTACGTTACACATCCACTCATGAAAGCTTCAAAAATCGAACATATTTATTAATTATACTTAAATTACTGCTATAACAGAAAATTATTCTATATCCTTTTTTCTTTCTGGGGAACCTCTCGGTGTCTTTAATTGCTGAATCTGAAATTGCCCCAGAAAGCAAATTAGAATGTGTGTAATTTAAAGTTTACTCTGGAAGATATGCAGTTCTATGGGATAGTAATTACTTTGTTGAATTACTTGAAATTCATTCATGCAGGGCAGATTATTTTTAATTCGTGAAATCAAAACTGGACATTTTGGTTAACAGTGCTGTCTGTCACTTCTTATGTACACATCTCTAGTGAAATTCAAGAAGAAATCAACAAAAATACGTAACCATTTCCTGTCCTTACTATCTTTCTTCAGTTTAAATATGCCTTGGCTATACGCATTAGTACGTTCATCTGAGCTGTCAATGCATTTCTTCAGAAAGTAATCCAGACGTGCGAGTAGAAAACAAGCTTTCAGAGATTCAATTGCTTCATAAACATTCAACACGCGAAATACCATCTGTCTAAGGTCATTAGATCGTTTTCTTTACAGAATGTTTATTATCATCTTAGAACTGTCCAAGCGCACTTTTTCCCCTATTAAGTGCATTGATGGTGTACAGAGTTTTAGTAACGAGGTATGCAAATTTAGAATGTCATTCTTATTCTCCAATATTATAAATACTTATTTCGCATGCTACTTAGGACAAAATTTACTGATAAGAGGAGAAGATTTTGGAGTAATCTTTTATGCATTTCCAGGTTATTTTATTAAAACTCAACGGAAATATTTTATACAATGAAAATATTCTTATGAAAAGTTTCTGCGGAACATTCTTCTCACCCTCCAAATTCATTCGAAATGCTTTATTTTCCAAGCATATTCCACTCACAGTTATATGACTGCTTTAATTCAGCACGTATTTTATAATACCCGGTAGTTCTTTAGCGAGCAACAAACCAAGGGAGCAAACTTTAGCTGCATCGGGGAATAAAATAGTTCACAAACTAGTTTCTGAT